CCGTTATTTTGCTGCAGCCAAACAAACTGCGGCAAATAGCCTTTGGTCAATCTGAGAATTCCTTTGTTGGAATTGTTTTCTTTGTCAGGAAATGAGTACTGTTAATTTCCTTGAACTCCTAGTTGGCTTTTTCTTTTCAGAGCCATAATTCCTGGTCAATTTTTTTCCCAGTAGAATCATCTCTCTTCCCTCATTAGGGTTCTCCCTTCTTCTGCAGTAGTGACAGAGGAGCCCTGTTGTCTGTGTATAGAGGAATCCCATTCATGAACAAGGAGTTTCAGTTCAGTTCTATCCTGGTCAGGGGCAATTTGTGATTCCCAATCCCACCTGGGTGTCCTAATTTCCAACATTCTCTCCAGTGGAGGTTAAAAGTGTGCAGAACTATTAACTGGGACATTGTCTATGGGCGACAGATAGAAGGTAGGAAATGTGTGACCAGGACAAGTGGGCTGTTTCCTGCTCTCTAGAGGTTCAACTATGTTCTAGGTTTCTCTGTTAGTCTCTGCTCCCACTTCACCTCATACTCTGCTTCTCTGCTTTTCCTTTCTGGAGTCTCTGGGAAGAAACATCTGGCTCAACAAGTGAACATCTACTTCAGACTGGTTTCAGAGGTCTCTGTCCATAGATAGCCAACATCATTCCTCAAGGCTTGAGGTAAGGCAGAACATCATGGCAGGAGACTGTGGTGTAGAAAAGTGGCTCAAGACATCACACCAGAAAGCAGCTCAAACCTAGCCTTTAGTATCTCTACCATCTCAGTAGTAAATAGTATTCCATCCTCTTGGTTGCTTAAAATGAAACCACTAGAATTTCCCTTAAGTCCTATCACATGCACACAATACACAGTCCATATCCACACATTCAGCAGATCCTGAAAATCTTGCCTCCCAAATATATCCAGAATCCAACCTCTTCTCACCATCTTCATTACTACTTGCTGATCCAACACTTCATAATCTCTGGATTATTGGCCATAGCCTCCTAATTGGTTTTTCTTCTATCCATACCTCTTCTTTTCTCAATACAGCATCTAGAATATTTTTTTTTAAATGCAACTCACATTATGGCATTCCTCTGCTCAAAACCTTCCAAATGAATCCCTGTCTCAGAACTTTATGGTGGCTTATAGTGTTCTAATATGTTCCTTAGCCCAGGCCTCAAATTTTGCCTCTTGTCTCAGCTCTTCTCCTTTCACTCTGCTTCAGTCATGCTAACCTCCTTGTTGCTCCTCAACCAGGCAATGCTCCCACTTTGGGGCATTTGTATTTGCTGTTCCTTTACCTGGAACACTGTAAAATCCTCCCTTAAATACCACAGTGGTTTGTTCTATCATATCATTTAATTCTTCACTCAAAAGCACCTTAGTGAAACCTTCTCTAGACATCCTATGTAATATTTCATCTCCCGTCCTCCCCTAAAACATTCCCTATCCTGTCTCCTTTCACTCCAAAGCACTCACTAGAATCTTGACACATTTATTAACTTTTCATGTTTATTCGGTTACTTCACTTTATTGTAAATCCCCTAACAAAGGATATTTGCTTGTTTTGCTCGCTATTTATCTTCAGTGCTGAGAGTAGCAGTGGTATATAAAAAGCATGCAATATTTTGAATGTGAATGGGTGTCCCACAGGGTTAATGAAGTGTATATATTATACTGCATTACGTTAGTGTGGAGCAGAGAGGGAGACGACTCATGAGGCTGCGATGTTCAAATACAAGAAGTATGAAACAGCTGCAAACATAATGAATTATATAAAATAATAGTATGAATTATTGTTGACTAGTCTGTTTCTCTAGGAAATACCGCCGGGCCCTTCCATTCTTTTCCTGTACTTTCCTCAACTGCAACTGTGGCCAACCCAGTCGGTCAGATCACCAGCTCAAAGCTGCCCTTTCCTGAAGGTTTTGGAACGGTCTTAGGTCCACTGATCCGCGCGCGTTATCTCGCGCGTTACCCAGCAACCCCACACATCTACCAGTCGTGCTAGTCAGCAGGACAGGAAGCGGAAGTGACGGACACCGGCACATGAAAACCCGCCCCTCACACCTCCCCATCCTCTGGGCGGTGACGGGAAGCCCGGAAGGGGCGGGCACAAGGCTGTGGAGCGGTGGGGAGGGGCGTCCGCCGAAAGTGGCGGTTTACTTGAGGTGGTTTCCTTAGTGTCCAGCATAGTTTGACTCTCCGGCCGAGCTCAGGACTCGTACTGCACCAGTGCTATCTGGGCTGGAGTGGGCTCCCGCGTCCTCTGAAGCAGGCTTTTATCTGGCCCAGAACTTGCGGGTTCAACGTTTCTTTCCATATCCGGATACCGATTACGGTATTTGGACTCTGCCTCAGACCCAGGTTCTGCCCTTCCAACTCCCCGCGCTGTGTTTACCCCTAGGCACAGTCTTAAGTTCTCCGTTTTCGAACCTTGTTTCTCTTTCCGCTCATCCCCATTTCTTCCAGAAGGCAGTTTTAAAACCTTTCCTTGCGTCTTTACTTTTTCCTTCGGCTCTTTTTCTTTCAGATTTCTCTAGAATCCCTAGTTTTCTGCTCCATGCCAGGTTTCTGCTTCCTAGGGCTTCTCTCTTCCCCAGAGATCTGTGACTCATGTATTAGGAGGTTTGAGCTTTTGACGCGTTTCTTTTTTCTCATCAGAAGTCACAGATGCAAGGACGTATGGCTCCCCTCAAGAAATCTCAAAATTCCACAAAGTTACCCCTGGCTTTAAACCCCACGAAGAGCAAGGACGTGTTAGCAGTGCTGGCCGAGAGGAATCAAGCTGTAATCCCAGTTGGGGTATGGGTGGAACCTGCCTCCCCAAATAATTTGGAAATCCCAGCATCTGTGAGTGATAGTTTGATCCAAACATGATTCCCCCTTTGTTTTTATTAGTCTTTTCTAGTTTTTGGTGCTTAAAGACGAACAGTTGGAGGATGTTGTTTCTGTTTTGTTGTAAATAGATTATATTTTTGCTTTAGGATTATAGATCAAGTATGTTTTTTGCCAAAACTTGCTGGAGCTTTAGTTGGTACAATCAAAATACTATTTAAGTCAGACCTACTGTGCAGGTGGTAATACATGGGACAGGATGTGTATCAGTTTACTTTACAAACTTGATTGCTTGCAATACAGTAACCTATGTTTTAAAATGGAGATTCAAGCAAAAAGGAGAAAGAAATTAATTGATTGGGATTTTGAGACAGTTTTAACTATAAATTCCCTGAGAACAGGAACCTTTATTTCTTGTTCCTTCCTGCTCTTGCACATAGTAGATCATGAGTGAGGAAATATGGTCTATTAGCCCTGAAAGGAGGTGCATTTCAGATGAAGGAAAACTTTTGTAAAATTTACATGTCCATGTTTACATGATGGTTCTCATATGAACTGGCATAAGGACAATTTTATAAGAAGGTTTTTTTAAAAAATCGTTTTTTAGTTGTAGATGGACATAATACCTTTATTTTTTTATTTTTTATGCGTCGCTGAGGATTGGACCTAGTACCTCACATGTGCTAGTAGGCAAGTGCTCTACCACTGAGCTTCAACTCCAGCCCCCTAAGAAGGTTTTTGATAGTGGTTCCCCAAACTGTGCGCCTTAGCTTTTTGTTAAAATTTTATTAAGGTAAATATGAAGTTGTATTATAGTAAATCGTTATGTATCTACTTTTCCTGATGGAGTATAAGCTCCTTGTTTATAGGTAGGAAATCTTGTTTATCATTACCTCACTTTTATCTTAAATAAATATTGCCTAATAAGTATAGGCATTCAGTAAATATTTATGGAATGCACAAAATGTGTAATGATCTTCTGTATAAATAGATTGGGTACTGAACATGTACCAGAGTAATGAGGCAGGAGGGCAGGAAAAGTATTTTCCCTTTTCACTAAAGTATGTGCACTTTATCCTAGAGGAGAAATGAGACATTTTGAAGTAAATGTTAAATGACAAAGCAATGTAGCAATGTAGTATATTTACTAAATTAATATTCATATGTATATGTATACATTAACTGATTTATTTCTACCCTATGTATTTTCTGAAAGAATTTTTAAGAGTCTCACTAGTCCATGATTAAGTGCTAAGAGATGATTGGGTTTATGTGAACCAGGAAAGTTTAAAAAGACTTTGGATAATCTGGGAAGAGAGTGGGATGATTCTCCTAAGGGAAATTGGGAGAGATGGAAGTAAACAAGGTGTGTTCAGGATTCTAAGAGTTGATTCTATGGATTGACATGGAAAGTTAGGGGAATGGTGGTTGGGAGGACTATGGAAAATAAGGGTGGTAAGGAACTATAGGACATTTTGGAGAAGGGATTGACTTTATTGTTTAATATTTACAAATGAATTTCATTATCTGTGTTTTGGTTAAATTAATTGCTTCAAACTTTTTAAAGATTAGGGAGAGATTGGATCCAGGGGGACAGGTTAGGATATAATTGTAACAACTTAAGCATGAAGTATACCATCAAAACTTTTTAAAAATATTTTTTAAATATTTATTTTTTAGTTATACGTGGATACAATATCTTTATTTTTATGTGGTGCTGAGGATTGAACCCAGTGCCTCACACATGCTAAGCGAGTGCTCTACCTTTGAACCACAACCCCAGTCCCCATCAAAACTTTTATAGTGCTAAGAAATAAAAAGGAAAAGCCTCAAAAAAGGATGGTTGAAGTGGGGATGAAAAAAGATATATAAAAAATATCCCAGAAGAATCAGTTTTGGTGCAAGTGTCCTTCATTATTTAAGTTATTAATACAGCTTTTTAATGGCTTAGATTATGACATCTTTGTCATGTCACATGTCAGCATTATCAAACTGCCTAAAGTTTGACACCATTAAGCTCTTTTCTAGCCTTTTTTTTTTGTACCAGGGATTGAACCCAGGGGCACTTAACTGCTAAGCAATGTCTGCAGTCCTTTTTATTTTGAGATAGGATCTTGCTAAATTGTTAAGCCCAGCTTTGAACTTGTGATCCTCCTGCCTCAGCCTCCCAAGCTCCTGGGATCATAGTTGTGTGCCGCTGTGTCTGGCTTCTTTTTGTATTTTAAGAAGAGTTATATCTTATCCTGGGTGTGGTAGTGCACACCTGTAATCCCAGCTATTTGGGAGACTGAGGCAGGAAGATTGCCAGTTCAAGACCAGCCTGGGTAACATGATGACACCCTGTCTTAAAAATTAAAAAAAGAGCTAGGTGCTGCAGCACATGCCTGCAGTCCTAGTGATTCAGGATGTAAGGCAGGAGGCTAAAGGAGGAGACAGAAGGCCAAGGATAGCCTCAGCAACTTAGACCCTGACTTAAAAAATAAAAAAAATAAAAAAAGGTGGGGGGACTGGGGATATAGCTCAGGAATAAAGCACCACTGGGTACAATCCACAGAACTCCCCCAAATAAAAATAATAATAAACAAAATAAAATACAAAATAAATGAGGGGCTGGGGATGTAGTTCAGTGGTAGAGGGCTTGCCTAGTATGTGTTAGGCCCTGGGTTTGATCTCCAGTATTGGAAAAAAAAAATTGAATCTTAAGTTCCTACACATTAATTCAAAATTTTAAGACTGGAACATGTATAAACATGTCTTCTTTCCCTCATTTAAAAAATTCGAATCAATTTTAGCTGAAGGAAGTTTGGTCAAGTATCTAATACAACTGTTTATTACTTTAGCCTGTCTAGTTTGGGAATCCACTCTTATTTACAGAATAGCACTGTTGGTTCAGAGTAGATGAAAGTAGTTACTTCTAAAACTTGTTACACTAACATCATGTCTACTCTAAAGGGGAACTCCTATTCATTCCCCGCCCCCTAAATTTCAAGGAGTCATCAGGGTTCCTAAAAATGTCAGAGCTTAGATCTCCATTCCCTCCCAATAATTAAATTAGCATTAAGTGACACTGCTGTCCTATTATCATGTATGGCTATTTACATTAATATATTTTCTAGTTATCTTTTGCTGAGAATCTATTGACAAAGCAAAAATATTGTGTCAGGAATTTAGGCAGAATACAGTGGGATGGCTTGTCTCTGCTTTTCAAGTGTCTGGGGCCTCATCAGAGGTAGCTTAATTTGTCTGGGACAGCTTGACTAGGTTCTGGTTGTTGGTTGGATTCTTTGGTGCTTCTTCTTATGATGCTTGATAATAAGCTGTAATATCTAAGATGGCTTTCTTGCTCACATTCTGGCACTTAGGCTAGGATGACTAAAATGGCTGGGGGCTGGTTGTATATCTTTCTTTTTTCAGAAAGCCTATTTGGCCGGTTTGTATTTCCTCATGACATGGTACTCTCAGAGTAGTGAGAATTCTTATGGTGCTGGTTTCTCCCAGAGTGAGCGAGCACTCCAAGAGCTTCAGGTAGAAGTTGCTTTATGACCTTGCTTGGGAAGTCACAAAGCCAACGCTTCTACTTCATTCTATCATATGTTCAGGGCTGGATCAAATTTGGTGTGGGAACATACTAAACATGAGCATAAATACTAGGAGGCTTGATTTATTGAGGCTTAAATTTGTCTAGACTTGGTCTAATCTGCGTCAGTTCAGACTTTATTATGTAAATAATTCTCTCTTGGAATTATTTTACTCCGTTGTTTCTTGCTACTTGCATTGTACATTCCACTCTAGTTGACCATATTCTTGTAGAATAGTTTATGGGATAGGTTTCTTGAAAACCTTAATTTTATTAAAATTCATTTTATTTTTGAGAATTTAATAGGAGCTTATAATATAAACTGAGATACTCTTTTTTAAAAAAATATTTTATTAGTTGTTGATGGATATTGGTTTATTTATACGCGGTGCTGAGGATCGAACCCAGTGCCTCACACATGCCAGGCCAGTGCTCTACCACTGAGCCGTAACCCCAACCCTTGAGATACTCTTCAGATTGAAATCACTGTGGTATAAGAAACAATAGGAAGCAGGTATCATGACGATTTAATTTAATTTGAAAATTCCTTATGAAGGAAGACCATATAGTCAGGAGAAAAGCAATATAGGATAGATAATAAAAGTTTTAAGAGTAACAGAAACTTCTAGCTCTGCTAGTAGCCAGCTATAGAATCTTGGGCTTCTGCTGAAGATTAATCTTTCTGAACACCAGTGTCCTCGTTTGTACCAAAGAATTACCTTATTACTGAAGGTAGTGTTGAGGATAGAGTGATATAATATAAAGTGCTTGCATATAATAGATCCTTAAAAATGAGAATGGCTGTTATTTTCGTTCCTGTGGTTATTCAGAGCACTTAGAGGAAGTGAATGCAAATCAGGAACTCAAATGTGATGAAATATTCTAGATTGCTTAGAATTGTTGAGGGATAAAGCTTTTTATAAATATTTATTCAGTACCTTTATAATCAGGGCTCTATACTATATTGTAGGGAAAACAAGTAGATATTAAATGCATTTCCTGTCCTTAAAGAGCTCATAATCTGATGGATGAGTCCATAAATGTTGAACTCAGTAAAATTAGTAAAATGAGAGATGCCATAGCATAAGAGCTCAGTGTGTTATGGGAGGTACTAGGGATGGATTTTAGATGGTCTTCAAGATTGAGCAGGCCCTTTACTAGGTGGGTATGAAAGTAAGAACATACTGTGTTAAAAATGGAGAATAATTCCGAGTATGAAGGAGTTTTACAGTAGGATATATCTGGTGAGATCTGAGCAGTCTGGTGTATCAGTACCATTTACTCCATTTAGAAAATGTGTAACAGGAGTGGGTTTAAATTGGTTCTTTAAGAATCAATAAAATGTGGGGAAAATAGAAAGTGGACATCTTTATTTTCAGTTTAATAAATAAATAAAATTTGAGTACTTACGAATTCTAATTTTTAGTTTATGATTTGGTTTAAGTACCTGGTATTCACTATGTAGATCATTGTCTCTGAACACTCATAATTTCCTTACTCTTCTGGCAATTTTGGGTTATAGAACTGAATTATTTTTTCCATGATTATATCCTGACTTTTTTGTGTTTGCAACAGCCCTAATGGACAAAACTTCTGATAGGCAAATTAATTCTTTTATCTTTGAAGACTTCAGCACATATGATTGAAGAAGAACTAAAGGAACAACTAAGAAAAAAACAAGAAGCTTTGAAACATTTTCAGAGACAAGTCAAACACCGAGTCAATCAACAAATTAGACTGAAAAAACAGCAACAGCTTCAGAAGTCTTTTGAAGCAGTAAGTTCAAAAGTGAACCTGGGGGCTGGGGTTGTGGCTCAGTGTTAGAGCATTTGCCTAGCATGAGGGAGGCCCTGAGTTCTATCCTCAGCACCACATAAAAATGAATAAATAAAGATATTGTGTCCAACTACAACTGAAAAATAAATATTAAAAAAAAAAAGTGGATGGGAGGGGAAGGGAGGAGAAGGGGGATAGAAAGGGCAGCAGAATAAAATAGACATTATTATTGCTGTATGTATATGGGTGACTGTATGACCAAAGTGATTCTGCAACCTGTACAATCAGAAAAATAAGAAATTATACCCCATTTGATTCAAATGTATGAATTGTCAAGATCATTGAACTGTCATGTGTAACTGATAAAAAAAATTTTAAAAAAAAGTGAACCTGAGTAATAATTGAGTGCAAAGTATGTATACTGTAAGATAAACTATTAGGCAGTAACAGTATCACTTTCTTTTAATTTCATGCTTTATATAATCTGATTTTCTAGTGAGTGCACAAGATTTTTATATAGAGAAATCATGTTTTATTGCTGTGTGTTCTGATGTGTTCTTTGTTTTCATCAAATAGTTAAAAACAATGTCAATGGGGCCGGAGTTTTGGCTCAGTGGTAGAGCACTTGCCTATCATGTGTGAGGCACTGAGTTTGATCCCCGGTACCACATAAAAAATAAGCAAATAAAATAAAGGTATCATGTCCATCTACAACTAAAAAAAAACCAACCAAACAAACAAAAAAACACCAAGATTTTTGGGTTCATACTTGAGTTTGAATTCTGGCTGTTTTACTTTTAGCTATGTGACCTTGGGTTACTTAACTTTTATGGTTGTACATATCTATAAAATATGGATATGATCCTTCTCTTACAAGATTGTGTGAGAATTAAGTGAAATAATATAAATGTTATTAATACAAACAGGTAACTGGTAAAAGTTAGTTCCTTTGCCAGATAATTTCTCCCAACCATTATTTGATTACACTGGATTGGAGTGGCATCTCATATCCCTCCTTTTTCTTTTGTGTAGGCAGAAAAAGAAGGCTCTATAGCCATGCAATCTTCAGATCCAGCACACTTCACTCCTAAAGGGACAAGTATTTTTCCAAGCAATTTGAATGCTGCAGTTGGAAGTTCTGGGTTACCTGCTTCCCAGATGTTTGGGAGTGCAATAAAAGATGGAGAGAATCAGAATGAATTATTCCAACAACAAGCCCAAGCTGTAAGTGCATACTCATTTTATCTTATATCTGATTTTTCCCCATCCTCTAAACTAAAAATATGACATTGATAGAATATGAAATAGGGATATATTCAACTTTACTTTTTATCACTTTTTTTTACTCTTTGTAAAAATGGAGACCAGTGGAATAATGCTTATTTTTACATGTATTTTTCTAATTTACATTTTAGTTTATTTTTGAATGACTTAGAATCATCTAAAGAAAGGTGCTCAAGTATTAGAATTCAAAATTTATTAGAAAGAGCTTCAGGCCAAAGAACATAGATTTTCTCAATTATAATGAAATTATTCTGTGTAAGTTACTATTACATTGTAGCATACAGACAGAAGTGATTCTTACCTTTGTTGCAAAGATATTCAGTTCTTCTAAAGAGTATTTCATTTAGTATTTATCTTTATATGTTTTTTCTTTTCTGTCTTAATCTTGTTATCATAATAAATGGATCTATGGTTGTAGGTAAAGTAATAATATAGGAGTGCCTAAACATATCCAGAATTTTTGTAAAATATGTACTTTTATTTAATAACTCATTTTATATACCTAATTAAGAATTATGAATAGATTCATGTATTCAAATACTTGACTCCTAGACAGCTCCTTCCTTAGTGTACCTGAGCTTTTGTTCATTTGGTTTGTTCTTCACCTCTACTTTGGAAGTTGTTCTTCATCTTATTAAAAAAGTACTTTCCTGGGACTGGGGATGTGGCTCAAGTGGTAGCGTGCTTGCCTAGCATGCATGAGGCACTGGGTTCGATTCTCAGCGCCTCATTTTTTCTCTTTTAATATTATGAACAATTTGGCAAAAATTTATTGTGCCAGGCACTGTATAAGATACAGGGATAGAACATTTACTCAGACACCTTCAGTCTTTGCTTTTGTGGTACTTATGGCTATGGACTTCATTTGTTTAAAGCATGGATTGAACACATTAGTCAGCATGTATTTGAATGCATTATACTTATTAAGCATTGTGGGGATACTAATGAAATGTGAAATGGAACCTTCCATGGACTTATATTTCCAGGTAGGTATACAAAGCTAATAGTCCCTAGTCTATTAAATAATATTATGGACCCATTTCCTGTATCTGGCAATTAAGTTTTGCCATGGGAGTTAAGAAATATTTAAATTCTGAGGAAATAATAGGGGAAGAATTCATGAAAGAAATGGATGGGGTTGTATATTTTGAATTGGTAAGCTGAATTGATAAGAGAATTTTGAAATGAGAGAAACAGTTAAAGACTTAGAATCTGCAGTGTGGTTGGTATATTTGTGAAGAAAAGAAAAAGGCTTTCTAATTGATAGTTTATAAAGAACCAGAAAATGAAGTTAGATGAGTAAGAAAAATCAGGTAATAAAAAGCACTAAATATTACAAAATTTTAAAAACTTTTTATGCCTTGTTTTAATTTTTTTTTCTTGGAAGAAGATGAATTTTCTAAAGAATATTTAGTGACTTAACTATTTTGGGCATGTGAACTTTTACCCATACAATTTAACAATAGATGCTTTTTAATCTTGCTTTTTTTGTTGCAGTTTTAATCCACTAGATGTCACTATGAAGCTAGGCAATAAAACTGTCAGGCTCTAAATCCCTAGTTAACTAGAACTGATTGAGCGCATGGTGAACATAATTCATTTTCTAAATGTTAGTGGACTTTTCAGTTTATTAATATCTTGGAACTACAGAAGCAGAATATTGAATTGGAAGTGGCTTTTTTTTTTTTAAACTTTATTATTTATTTATTATTTGTATGTGGTGCTGAGGATCGAACCCAGGGCCTTGTGCGTGCCAGGCGAGCACTCTACCGCTGAACCACAACCCCAGCCCTGGAAGTGTTTTAAAGTTCATCTGACATATGAAATATGACATATGAAATAAGTATACTTCAGAATAATATAAGAGTGAGCCAGAGAAGGAAGTTTATGGATAAATAGTATTAAAACTGGGTAATATAGTCTTCTGTTTATTTCTGTTTAAAGTTTTCTATATGTTTAAAGTTATTTAAGCTTTTAATTAAATGTTAAAAAAAGATATTGGGCTGGGTGTGGTGGCACACATCTATAATCCTAGTGACTTGGGAGGCTGAGGCAGAAATATTGCCAGTTCAGGGGCAGTCTTAGCAACTTATCAAGAGTGTGTTCAAAGAATAAAAAGGGATGGGGATATAGCTAATTGGTAAAGTGTTCCTGAGTTCATTCTTTATTATTCCCCTGCCCCCCAAAAAGATATCTGATTCAGTTTTTCTCTCTGTAAAGAGTTCTTTTATATCATCGTGTGTGTGTGTGTGTGTGTGTGTGTGTGTATTTATATTTATATGGGTGATATATATCAATTTAATTTCTGCTAAAACACTTATATTGGATATCTTACTACTTTTTCAGAATGTTCACTTCATTTTTAGAAGACTTGGAATTATTATAGCTGTTTTTTCAATATAATGGTCAAAAATTTCCTATCACTTTTTTTAAATAAAAAAAAATTTTTAAGTTGTTGATGGACCTGTATTTTATTTATTTATATGTGGTGCTAAGAATTGAACCCAGTGCCTCATACATGCTAAGCAAGCACTCTGCCACTGAGGTACAACCTCAGCCCTTTGTATCACTTTTATTTGTTGGTCTTAGTTTTGCCCTCTCAAATAATAAAAAATAAAATACTTTCTAAAAGGACTTCAAGTATTTAATTATAGTTATCATTTTTCTTCTTTTGGATTTCTACATTCTTAAAGCCTTTTGATTTTTTTTTCTAAATGCTGCTTAGTTTTCTAATGTTCTTTTCAAATATGGCCCCCAAATCTGAACATAGTCTTATTATTTCAGATGTGGTTTGGCCAGAATCTCTTAATACTTAGTATTACCTACTTATTCAAAGATCAGATACAATTAGGCCCCTAAAATTAAGAGCTAGAGTCATAGAACTGGAAGAAATTTCAGCCCATCACATAAAATAGAACCAGCCATTTCTTTTGTTAGAACTGATATCTATCCTTATGAATTGAGTTTCTATGGTGTCCCTTGATTACTTCATTTTGGTGGGGAAGTGAAGAATAACTTACCAGTTTCATTCTTACTATATAATATTTTTTAAATTTATAGACTATTAAGTTCGCCACTGTTTCTTTCCTTGTAAGGTTAACTCAGCTTTTTATTTGTTTCTCATTGAACCTTTTATGCTCTTGTTTTTATTTTTATTCTCTCATTACAGTGCTAGTTTTCCAACTTTTTAAAAATACCTTGGGAAAATTATTTTTTGTGAAGTTAAAGTTTAAATGACATGAAACAACCAGCTAAATTTTCCTCTCTTTTATTATTGAAAAAAATCGTTTTTCAGTTACACTCTTTTGGCTGCAAGAATTTAGGCTAACCAAGCAAGGGGAAGTTTATTTCAAGCATCAGGGGTTAATAAAGTCAGAATCCAAATCTTACACCTATCCCTAGTCCTTTCAAGAATGTATAACTTGAAAGTTTTTCTGGATCTAAGGTAGTTCCAATGACCCCAAGAGTGTGGAATCTTTGAGCTTCACACTAGTATTTAATTGTTAACTTGAATCAGTTGATCCTATCCTTCCTTCTTTTTTCAGTATTGAGGGTTTTTCCCAGGACATGGGGTTTCCAGTGCTAAAATTGGAACAGTTCCAGGCAAACCAGGATAGGCAAACCTGGGTCATCTTATTTCTACACTTGTGCTTCTCTTATTAACTTATTTTTCTACTACTAACTGGTGTTCACTTATTACAGCTTTGTAATTTTGGCACACTTGAGGCTACTTTCATGTCTTTTCTCCAGTATAGGATTTAGGGCCTTTTAGGCTCAGGTCCTATCTCTGATTTTTCTGAGAATATTTGCTAGTTCATTATCTCTGATAAGGTATCTTTATTGTCCAGTTTGCCTTTTTTGCATTAGATCTAGGTTACTGGCCATCCTGTAGATTGTTAGTGACAATTACAAAAGAAAGCTAATGCAACTGATGCATTGCATGGGGGTTTATGGACTATAATAAAGGGCTTTTGTAAGTTTTAACTCTAGTATTTTTGACCACTGTAAATTTTTTTTTTTTTTTAAAAAAAAAAAAAACAGGGATTGAACTCAGGGGCATTCAATTACTGAGCCACATCCCCAGCCTGATTTTTATATTTTTTATTTAGAGACAGGGTCTCACTGAGTTGCTTAGCACCTTGCTTTTTTTTTTTTTTTTTTTGCTGAGGCTGGCTTTGAACTTGAAATCCTTCTGCCTCAGCCTCCCAAGCTGCTGGGATTATAGGCATGCACCACTGTGCCAGCACTGAAAAGTCTGAACATTTAAAAATCAGTATGATATAATTTGCAAAAAAGCTACATTGTAGTTGAATAGAATTCAATTTTGGGTAGATCTTAGCTGTGCTTTATTCCCATGATCTATGTAGTATTATCGTTTTGTTTATGTAGTTACATAAATTCCACCTTTCTAAATCTTATTTGGCTAAAAAAAAGCATGAATAAAAAGAACTGAAAAAATAAGAACAATGAAAAGAGTCATAGTAGATTATCTGTCAAATTTTATCTTATGTACTTGCCTGATATTTTAAATTTTAACATAAAATTTTATTTGCTTTAGATTTTAAGATTTAAATCTTGAAATTTGCTTATATAGTAAAATTTTTGTTTATCAGATAAAAGTCCCTTTGCTCATTGTTGAAATTATGTTTCTGTGAGTGGTTCAGACCTTTTGTTGTAAATGTATAAGACATTGCCTCAAGACCTGTATTTATTTGCTAACATCACTGATGTTGTTGCTAATCTAATCAGAAAAATCTAGGGATGATGTTGCCAAAGGCTGTCCCTCTATTAGGGTTTGTGGGGGTGACAGTTTTCCTTAGAAGGTACTATGATTAATTATCTAATATATCTGGGATATTGTCTTTAAGGGTCAGTGTGAGCCAAGTTTTGTTGGCAGTGATTCTTCCTACTGGATGGAAGAAAATATAGGCGTGTGTTCTCTAGAATATTCCTGAGGTCTGAAATAATTGCATTTATATATGCATTATGAAAACCCAAAATGATTCTACATGCTTATGTTGTTCATGGAGAGGTAGCTTTTTGTGTTAAAGGAATCTTTTTTTTACATTTTATGTTTTGTTAAAATTATATATGCATATAGTTTAAGCAAGTAAAAGAAGTAGATATGTACAATGTTTACAGTTTAAAAACAAATGTCTTTCACATTTTATCATTCCTTCCTCAAAAGGGAATGTTGTTGTTGTCGTATCATTTAGTATTAACTTTGATATTTCTAAGTAAGATGCTTGTGGTGTTCTTTCTTGATTTTTAAAAACAGTTCAGGCATTTTTATTGGTGCCTCTGAAACATGAGGATTTGGCTCTTTCTATCCCCTCTTGTTATTACACATATACCTTTTCCACCTTCACCCTCTCTTTATAGTTATGTAGTAATTTTGCTTAGATTGATATTCCACATTTGCATTGTTATGACTATGTAAACAGTACAGTTGAGCTAGGTAGTAAACTGTGATTACTTTTCCTTCTGTGTATGGCTTTTTGTTTTATTTGGAGTTATATTGATTTTTGATTTGCTAGATTTTCTATGCAGTTTTGAATGACTTATCTCCATAAGGGAATCTTTAAATTTTGGTCCGATTTAGTGCCAATCTTTGTTAAACCATTAAATTCCACTGTCGCAGATGTGGGATACCTATAAAAACTTAAATTGAGCAACAAATGTATCACTTATGGTAACTTTTGAAATACAAATTATGAATTTAGAGTTCTATTATTTTGAGAAAAGTAATAAATGAATGACTACCACGTTTGAAAAATAGGTATATGAAATATATTTATGTGTATATACACACACACATCAATATAAGCTCTAGATATGGATTTCCAGTCTATTTTTTAAAATATATTTTTTAGTTGTAGTTGGACACAATACCTTTATTTATTTACTTATTTTTATATGATGTTGAAGATGGAACCTAGGGCCTCACACGTGCTATATGAATGCTCTACCACTGAGCTACAACCCCAGCCCCTTCCAGTCTATTTTAATGTACTTGTGTCAGATTCATTGGAATAGTTGCAAAACTGAAAACTTGTGACTTAGTGGGTTAATAACAATGGCTATAAGAGAATGAATAGTGTGTCTGAGGTTCTAGTATTAAAAAGACTTAATTAAATTTTATTTTTTGAGTGTTCATACACCCATAGCATGTGCCCATAATACACATGTATTTTTAAACATACACTTATAAATATATGTTGCATGAATTAATATATAAACCACACAAATACTTAAGCATATAATGATTAGCATCTTGCAGTGAGAGAGGTACACTTATTTTCTTGTTCATTTTATTTAGCACATAATTTTGCATAATTTTATAGTAATATCTCTTTATTGTTTCATTATAATTTTACATAATGGTGAGATTCATTGTGACATTCATACATGCACATAATTTGTTCCATTTCATTTTCTAATACTTCCCCTTTCCTTCTCCTCCTCTCTCCCCTGATCCCCTTTATATACTCTACTTGTCTCCCTTCTATTTGTTTATTTTTTTAAATTGATACATTATCATTATAAATAAAAGTATGATTCATTATGATATATTCACATATATACATAGCTAATTTGGTCAGTTTATTTCCCCAGTACCTTCCCTTTTCTTCCTTTCTTCCCTCCTCCTTCAATCCCCTTCCTTTACTCTACTGGTCTCCCATCTATTTTTGAGAGATCCCTTTTTTAATTTCTTTTTTCTTTTTAGCTTCCACATAGAAGACAAAAATTTTGACCCTAAACTTTGAATCTGACTTATTTCACTGAGCATGATGTTCTCCAACTTTATCCAAATTCTGGAAATTGATATAATGTATTCTTTATGGTTGAGCAGAACTCCATGGTGTATTGTACCACATTTTCTTTATCCATTCATTTATTGATGGACACTTTTGGTTCTGTAACTTGGCTATTGTAAATTGCATTGCTACAAACATGTATCACTATAGTATACTGATTTTAGTTCTTTTGGACAAATGCCAAGGAGTGGAATAGCTTTTTATTAATTCTTATTAATATTAATTTTGATTCTTGCTATATTAGTTACATTTCTGGTAGCTTCTGTAATAAAATCACCACAAATGTAATGGCTTAAAATGATGGAAATGCATTTTCTTACAGTTCTGGAGGCCAGAAGTTGAAAATCAGGTTCACTGAACCAAAGTCAAGGCATCAATAGGGCCATGCTCCCTGTATAGGCTTTAGGGGAAAATTTGTTTCTTTTGTCTTTTCCACCTTTAATTCTGCTGGCATTCCTTTACTTGTGGCCACGTCATGTCAATGTTTGCCTGAATCTTTGTATTGCTTTCTCTGCTGTAGATTGAATATCCCTCTACTACTCTCTTATAAGGACACTTGGGATGGCATTTAATGCATATCTGGATAAATGAGGATCATTAAAGATCTTTTACTTAACCACAACTTTACAAAGGCCCTTTTCCTCTACAAAGTAACATATATAGGTTCTGGGGATTGAGATTTGAGACCTGATTTCTTTGGATGGCCATTGTTCATCCTTCTGTAGTTCTCATAGTAGTCATTGGAAAGACCTGTAAAAGACTGAGGTTCGGTGAAGAATTATGGTGGAAAAAGAAATAGAAAAGCATAAAGTATATTTTTATTGCCTGGCCAGTTGAAATATCCTACTTAAGGAATTGTAATCAATCTGAATCTAATGGAGATTAGGACTTTGATAGGAAATGAAGATTCTGAAGCCCTATTTTAAATTTATTACATTGGAACTTTTGAATCCTGTTTACAAAATGTGGGACAATAAAACCTACCATACGTGGTGGAGAAAGAAGCAGGCAATTCATGGCTTTGTATTTTTTTTTAATATTTATTTTTTAGGTGTGGTTGGACACATACTTTTATTCAGTTTATTTCTATGTGGTGCTGAGGATCGAACCCAAGGCCTTGCACATGCTAGGCGAGTGCTCTATTGCTGAGCTACAATCCCAGACCCTGTATTTTTTTTTTTTAATAACTTCAGCTGCATGTATGTCTCTTTTTGCATTGTGAATAACTCTGTCTTAACCCCTTTAGTCATTCTGCAGCTAACCTAATTTAGAAGTCCTGCCCTTGGTAAAATAAGGAGTAATGTTTCAAGATGATTTCTCTGGTTAGCAGTATGGATTTCTAGAAGCAAGGACTAAGCAGAGATGATATAATTGTTAGAAAAACTGGGCTAGTAATGAGAGTTTTTCCTTCTTAGCTCACTTTTAGTTAAAAATACATTAAGTATTTGTTACTGACATCTGTTAAGTCTTAGCCATAATTTCCCCTCAAGGGAGTATAGATAGCATTGATCTTTCAATGAATGGCTTACAAATGGTCCTGACTTTGCCAAAATGTCCCTAAGAATATGTAGATTTGCTTGTTCACCATGAGTTGCAGCGCTCATCCTAAAAAATAGTACATGGTTCATTTGTTTCTTTTCCCTAATGGGGCATACCTTGCAGATTTGAGAGAGGTAAATAGGCTGTGCTCCTCTGAAAAAGATATCAAAATAGGTATATGCTGAAATTACTAGTTAGAGACAAGGAATGAAAATAAAGTCAATGTATTTAATATTAATAGTCATTTATCAGAGATTATTTAGTGCAGTTGAAACAAATTGATTCTTTTGAGATGTGTTCTAAGTTAATTTAGGAAGGCATCTTTAAGGAAAGGATATCTGAGAAAATACTTTAACTTGGTCTTCAAATGTTGGGTGTACAGAAGGGATTCGTATCAATAGGAAACAACTAAGAGTCTTAGGGCAACTAGGAATAGAGTCTTCTAGCAAGGAATGATGAAAGCAATTAGGCATGCAAAGACCAGTTGAAGAAATAACTCCTTATTGAAAAGATGGAATAGAAGGGAGTTAAGAATGTGTTTGTGCAACAATTTCTAAGTATATTGATTCAGACATTTAAGTTCTGATTTTGGCATTCACACTTAATATAATGTATATATTGATTAAAAAATTATGTGAATCACAGCCCCTACATTATAAAGTTCAGTCTTTTTAGAATAATGATAATAATATCATAAAATACTATACAGATCAAAATTTCCTTTTTAAGTAATCCTCTTATATTAGGTCCGTATTTTTAATAATGGGTATCTGTTTTCCTTTTGGAACACTTAGTGTATTTGGTATCAAGACTTTAACTTGTTTTTGCTTTCTTTTTTTCCTCCATTCCCTGGCAGCTTAGTCAAACCATGAAACAAGTACGTCACCGGCTGGCATCCCATAAAACTGTGAGTAAAAAAAAGTCATCACTGTTTCCAGATGGTATGAGGAAAAGCTTTTCTACCCAACAGGTAAATTAATTTCCATTATGTGGTTTTTAAAAATACAAATAAAAAATTTACTTATATCTCAGCATAGCTTAGAACTGTAAAATATTGGAAATAACCTGAAATATCCCACAGTAGGGAATGCTTGAGTAAATTGTGATGCATCCATATACAGCCATTCTAAAATATAATTATGTTTTCAAAGAATATCTGAAGACAAGAGAAAACGTGAGGTAAAGTTAAGTGAAAGAAGTAGGATACAAAATTTTGCATTGTGAATAACTCTGTCTTGACCCCTTTAGTCACTCTGCAGCTAACCTAATTTTGATTGATTACAATATGATCTCAATTTAAAAATGTATGTATTTGTTCAACAAATGTTTATGGAATGTCTATAATTGGTAGATATGGTTCTAAAAACAGGACTTACAGTGGTAAAATAAAGACAATAAGCCTTCAAGGAGTTTCTGTTCTGGTAGGGAAGTATATAATAAGTAAATAATTATAGAATATAATTTCAAATAAAAAGTGCTATAAAGAAAAGTAAAGCAAAATAAAAAGAAATGGCAGAGAATGCTTTGTGCTTGAATGAACCCCTATATAAAAATGGCTTGAGAGGCTAATGTTGATTATTTCTGGACAGTATTATTACAGGCGATTTTTCTGTTTTCCTTATTTTAAAAATTTCCTATTGTGTGTGTATTACTATTATTTTTTTAAAAAGAAAATTGTTTCTTAACATAAAGTTAGAGTGAAAAATTGTTCTAAATGTAGAACTAGACCTAAAAGGATATTTAAGCCTATAGTTGTAAAATGACTTTTTTTGGTGTCTACTTATTTTAGAATTCACAAATTTGGATGCTCAGTTTGTGTATCTTCCTGTGTTTACTTAATTTTGGCATTAATTTCAAGTTTTGTTGGTCAGCATCTAATAAAATAGCCCCATTAGTCCTTTTTTTTTTTTTTTTTTGCTACCATCAACTGTCTCTTATTTAGGTCTTTCCCAGTTTTATTTTCTTATGATATATTGTTTTATATTTTCATGGATCATATACATTCATGTGTTAATAACAGGGATACTTTCAGAGAAGTATGTCCTTAGTTGATTTCACTGTGTAAAAATCATAGTGTATTTACACAAACTAGAGAGGGTTATAAAATCCTTACGTGACAGTCTTAAGGGACCATCATCAAATATGTTGTTCATTGTTGATAAATGTCATTGTGTAGCACGTTTTATTTTTATGTTTTTCCCTTAAATAACTCAACAAACCATTAAAACATTTGCCTTTATATGTTTGCAACTTTATATGGTTGAATACTAAACTATAAATGTCTCCCTCTTCAGTAATAATTTTAAAATTTATAAACTAACTTTAAAAAACAAAAGGTAGATATATCTAAATATGAAAATCCATCCTACATGCAGTCAGTTTGGTTGACTTTTTCTAGCATTGTCTTGTTGTGACTTTTTGAAATACAGTTTCTTTTGTACCTCAGTTATTCTTAGAAGCTTGGGTGTTTTTTTTGACAATTTTCATACCTATTATGGGGTATTATAAAATTGATTCCAGGAAACTGTTGAAAAGTGGTGATTGGACACTTTCTAATAAACCAGAGAAGAAAGGGTTATCAGGTCCTAGAGAGTGATATTTTATATTGTCTGGAATATGATCAGATCTTATGAAGTTGGTATTTTTCCACAAAGAATGCTGTTCATAGATCTGACTGAAATAGTTATAAGGGAGGATTAATTCTGAGATAAGATCCTTGTATAAACCAGGTTTATACGTCAGAGGTGCCATTTAAGTGTAATTCATTATTGTTATGATGATGATAATGAATTCAAGCTGGCCATTTGCTTCCAATGAATGCATTTGGGGGACAAGAGGTAAAATAGCAAAACAGATTCTTCTGTATAATTGGGAAAGATCTAATATTCAGAGAAATATTCTGATCACTTATATCAAATCTTTACCTCAAATCTGAACAGTTTTCTATTCTCTCAGCTGCATGAAGTGGGAATCTGCCCGTTGGAAAAAACAATCTGTAATCCAATTGAGCTCTGCTTTCATTTCTTTGTTAGTTTTTAGCAATTAGATTCTTTCTGGTTGTAATTGTTCAAGGTGCAGAGATCCATGTAGAACATATATTTGATTGACTTCTGTCAGGTTTCCAGGACTGAAATCATGAGTGTTTTGAAATTGTTAGTGGTTAGGATGGTGGAAAGTTGTCATTTACGAAGTTTTTATGTTCCCCTACCAGTCATTTCATCTGTGATTTGTTTGTATATTTGAAATTGAAATAACTATTTTTTTTTCTTAATTCTATATAGGATTATTTTAATTTACTCAAGATCATTCCAAATCTTTCACAAAAAACTCAATTAGTATTGTGAGGATGTTGCCTTCCCTAGACCATTTATATTTGTATGAATTCTCACCCACCAACTCCCAGGGAGTACTTTGTAGGAAACCAGCATCCATCATGATAAATATAGAAACAAGAGAAAAGTACCCTCTTAAGATCCATCAAAGTTTTTTTAAACTACTGTATATTACTAGAACTTTATGGAAAATCAGATAGGGAGATGAGGTACAAACCCTTATTGCCCATTTGACCTTCTGTTGAGAAAAATGTCTATTCAATTGCGTTGCCTATATTTAAATTGGGTTGTCTTTTTATTGTCAAGCTTTATGTGTTCATTATATATTCTGGATATAAATCCCTTATTAGAGAGTGGTCTTATGTATATTTCTCCTATTCTGTAGGTTGACATTTCATTTTATTAATGGTGTCATTTGCAGCACAAAATTTTTAATTTTGGTGTAGTGCAATTTATTAGGAAGAATGAAATCCCCAACTTCTTAATATATTTTTCAAGAATATTTTGTTATTATGGATCTCTTGCATTTCCACATGAATTTTTTCATGTTAATTTCTATAAAAGAAAAAAAGTATTTTGGTAAAGATTTTTGGCTCTCTAGAACAATTTGGGAAATATGTCCATTTTTTAAAAAAAAAATTGAGATGGGGTCTTACTCTGTTACCTTGCTGGTTTCAAACTCCTGGGGTGACTCCTCAGCCTTCCCAGTATAGGGACTAAAAGTGTGCATTACTACACCCTGCCATCATAACAGTATTTTCTTCTGATCCATGAATGTGAGATGTCTTTTCACATATTTGGATCTTTCTTTTTTTTTTCCAACAATGTTTTATAGTTTCTGTGTACATTTATCGCAATCATTTAATACTGTTTGAATATGCTGTCTTCAAGCCTAGGATTTCATTGCAGTCACATTTTTTCTATATGTAATAGCTACATTTGGTATTATTTTTTTATTTATTTTGTTTTGTTTCCTTTTAGGAATCTGACAGTGAGGAAGTATTATCTATTATAACAAATGAGAAAGGGAGAGACGATTTATTTTGGGGAGACAAGCAGAGTCTCTTTTCTGAAGACAATGATAAGCCTTTTAGCAGAGTTCAGGTAAAGCAATAAGAGTAAGTGAAATAATTGTGATTTGGAATAGGGATTACCAGTATTGTTATACTGGTTTAGAATTGTAGAGTTAGATTCTTTCAAGTTGGGCGACTGTGATTTCACATTTTATTTTAGTAATTTGTTGAATACTCTTGCCATTTTAAGATCATTTTAGGAATCTCATGGAAAACTAAGTGTTACTGTTTTATAACATTCTATATTTGTTGTTTATGTTCACTTTTAGAAAGTAAAATTCAAAAATCCATTATTTGTTGTCATAGAAGAGAAAGAACAAAAGCAGTCACATTTTCAGGGCCTTGAAGCCCAGGATTATCCTCTGGAAACCAAAGGTGATTTGATAGAAGTTCAGAGTATTGAGCCTGAAAAGAGTATTGAGCCAGATGTCCAGGCTGTTGATCTGGAGGTTCAAGCTATTGAGCCAGAATGCCAAGCCATTGAACCAGAAGTCCAGGCTTTTAAGACAGAAACTTGGAATATTATGATAAAAGCCAGTAGTAGCACTGAGATAGAAGATAGGAATACTGAGTTGAAAGCACAGGATTTTCTATCCGAAAACCAGGCCTTTCTGCCCAAATGTGAGGACCAAGATTCTCTACCCCAAAACCCCTATGTTCTCCCTAAAGACCAGAATATTCTACCCAAATATCAGGACCAGAATTTTCTGCATAAAGACCAGGATTTTCTACCCAGAGACCAGGATATTCTACCCAAATGTCAGGACCAAGACTTTCTACCTGATAAAGACCAGGATTTTCTATCTAGAAACCAGCATGTGTTCCCTGAAGACCAGAATATTCTATACAAATATCAGGACCAAGATTTTCTACATGATGACCAGGATTTTCTATGTAGAGACCAGTGTGTTCTTCCCAAAGACCAGAATATTCTTCTCAAATGCCAGGACCAGGATTTTCTCCCTAAAGATCAGTACATTCTCCTCTCAGATGAGAATCTTCTATACAAATGTCAGGAGCAGGATTTTCCACTCAAAGATCAGGTAAAATGGAATGAAAAAGAGAGATAATAAGAATAAATAAGCTATTTAGAGTTTGGATTGGGATTTATAAGGATTATATTGCAACTGATTTGGAGGTCCATAGTTGGAGAATATACTTTCTTTCTTGTTTTTTTTCAAAGCTCCAGTGTTCATACTAAGCATTAAAATATTATCAGCATATTTTCCCTATCTGGACAATTTACTTTTTTATTTTTAATCTTCACTAGGAAAAGTATATCTGGCAGCCATCATTGGCTTTGACAGTTGAAAGATGGAAAAAGGAGTGGCCCACAAGAACAGAACCATATCTTTCACATAGGTTCCAAGGCCAGCCCTCTACTGGGGATCAGTCAGAGCAAAAGGAGGAAGAGGATCAACAGGAAGTAAATTACTTAGGGTTGTGGTTGGGCTTTTATGTAATAGAGTAGTTTTTTATTTTATTCTCTAAGATGCCTAGTCATATTCTGACCTCCGTGAAATCCAGAGTTCTCATTGAAGCATAAAATCTAAGTTAACCTGTCATTTTTAACTGATATTTTCTGTTTTTGTTGTTGTTTTTTTTTGTTTGTTTTTTTAAGAAATCAAATTTGAAGCAGCCAGCATCACTTTTGATAGGTAGGCAAGGAAGAGAAGAGTTTCCTGTGGATGTTGTATATCAGGATCTTCTATGCAGTCATCATCAGTCCTCCATCAGGGCCAAGGTAGAATGGAGAAAAGGACAGAGACCAGCAGGAACTGAATGTTTAGGGATTAATTTGGAGCTTCAGATTTTATCCTCAGCTAAACTGTAGAACTGAAAAAAGCCTGGTTTTGGGTTTTATTTCATAATATTTCATATTACTCTTACTGGACAGTTTATAGTTTGTGTTTTTTCTCTTTTAGAAAGTACATTTTCTGGAGCCATTTTCTGATGAGGAAGGGAGAGAAGACTTTTCTCTGGTGGGTTATCAGTGTCTGCCTCCCCAAACCCAATTCCAGGACCTCATCAGAGAGCAGGTAGAACAAAATGAAAGAGAAAGAAAGAATTGGGAGATAAAGTAGCTGTTTTTTTTTTTCTCCCTGCTGTTCATTTAAAAAAAAAATTTTTTTTTTATTAGCTACACATGACATTACAATGATCTTGGCAATTCATACAAGTAACTGGGTTTTACAAATGCTGAACAACTGGTAACTTAAAATATAGAATCAGAGACTTTGGAGCTGTAAGGATATAATATCTTTGCTTCCTTCTTACATTAGTGGGATTATAGTTCTAAGTCCTATCAGAACAATACTTCTGCTTCAAGAAGGATAGGCATAGAGTGTTAAAGCCCAAACAGTTTGGTTTCTTTTTTTCTTTTCTGCCTTGAAGCTAATGATAGAAAATACCTTTGTCTACACTGATCAAATCAGTTCTTTCATTCAAAAGATTAATACATCAGTTAGACTCTTAATTTATCAGGATTATTCTCTAACTCTTGCTGAATCCCACAGTATTATCACAAGTGTACTGCCCCTACATAAACAATGTCGGAAGAAGTAGCAGATCCTAAATTACTATAAAAGATTTGATGAATTTCTCAAGACTCTTTTTTTTCTGTGGTTTGGGATTAAGAATTAAAGTTTATAGAGTTGCATTAGAAGTGTAGCATCCTTATTCTTACCAAAACATAATTAGGATATTCTTACTTGATGCTGTTTTCTTAGAGTTCTCATGAAGCCTGAAGGATTATCACTAACATATCATTCTGTTTTAGATAATTTTTTTCTGTTTTTGTTGTTTCTTCAGAACATGTTTCTCAAGTAACCCTCACCTTTTAGGACAGAAGAGAGAGGGTAAGGGAGGAGTTGCCTCTGAGTATCATTAGTATGTTCCACCTAAGATCCAGGACCAAGCCTCCCCTGGAGAACAGGTGGAGCCGCATACAAAAAAAGGGCTATCACTTTCTAAAAGAGAAGACCAGTTACTTAAGATTGGACTGAGGTTTAGCAAGCTAACTTGTGTGGGGGATACATAGACTTAAGGTCTCCAGAGTTAGGCTAAGAGTAAAATGTCTCTAGTTATTTCAAAATGTACCAGAATAATTCTTTTTTTAAAAATTTTTAGTTGTAAATGGACTATTTATTTATATGTGGTGCTGAGGATCGAACCCAGTGCCTCACACGTGCAAGGCAAGCACTCTATCACTGAGCCACAACCCCAGTCCCAGAATAATTCTTAATTTGCTTTAAAATACTCCTAAAAAAAGCTGGAGAAGAGATAGATGAAAAAGCAAAATGTTACTGATTGTTAAAGTTGAGTGATGGGTACCTCATTTTTTTCCTTACTTTGGTGTTTTGAAAATTTTATGCTAAATGCATGCACACATAGACCCCCTAACTGTTCTGTTATCCTTACTTAGTATCATACTCTGGGATTGTTACTGAAGTCTGTAATGTAACTAACCCTTGATTCTGTTTGGATAATCACTTTTTTCTTTGATTGTTCATTTAGAAAAAGTATATCAAATAACCTGCGTCTTTGGAGAAAATGGAGATTGGGAGAGGAATTGCTATTGGAGTCTCATCAGTATATTTTACCTAGTGATAGAGACCAAGCCTTTCAAGTAGTACGAAATACAGTGAGAGTAGGTAGCGAGAGTAAATTGTTTAGATTTGGACTCAAAATTGACAGGGCAATGTATAATTGCTTCAAGGATTTAGTGTTAAGGTTGGTAATAATGGGCAAAGAATATAATGTACTCTTGTTCTTAGGTGTATCACACACGCCATTCTCATTGGTTTACTTTAGGCTTTTTCACTGAAGCTTTTACTTTTGCCACAGGCATGGTGCTCATCCTTGGGTAATTTATGTCAATGTTTATGTTGTCTTTTAGCACAGTAACTATGGGCAAGCATCACATGATATGACAGATGAGAAATGGAGAAGAGAGTTGCTTCCAGAGTACCACAGATATGGTTTACATAAAATCCAGGATCCTGGCTCTGCCAGAGATCAGGTAGAACACAGTACTGTAAAGAGTAAGCAGCAGAAAGCAAATTAGAGTTTTGTTTGGACTTGTCAGAGGTATATCACTAATGAAGATGATGATAGTGTTATTTTTTATTAATATTAGAAACATTATTATAAGTAACAGCTTGTATTCACAGAGCATTTATCATAGCCAAAATGGTTTTAGAAGTTTGTATGCATTATTCACGATGTCTCTGGGAGATAGATACTAAGATTGTCCTTGTTCTATAGATGCGATATAAGATTGCTTTGTGGATAGTTAAGACCCTTAAGAGCTCAAAGAAATATAATATCTACTTTTATGCCATAATATATGAGAACATTTTGAACTACTTAGATTACTTTAGGGCTATTCCTAAAGCCTACAGTACTATCACTATTATTATATCACTGCTCACATAATTTGATATGTATTATTATCTTTTAGAGCTTATACTTTAGGCAGCAGCCATCTGTTGGAACAGCTGAAAGATGCCAAGAGGACTTGCTTCTGAATCACCATCAGCATCTTCCACCCAAGCATCAGAGAGACACTTGCAGCAGACGACAACAGGTAGAGGAGACCATAGAGTATGAACTATGGAATTCAGGCACCATTATCCATACCTCCTAGGCTGGGATGATAAAGGTTGATAAAAAGGTAGATTTCTGTTTTATTTCATAGTGTACAAACCCAACCTTAAGATTATTTTAGAGCTTTTACTGAAATCTAGGAGATAGTTAGGAGCATTTTGTGCCTGTTTGGAAAAACTATATTTTATATTGATATTTATAAAAGTCCATTTCAGGTGGCCATTGTCTTTGTTTGAAAAGGGAAGAAATGAGTAGTTTTTTGAGAGGGTTGCTGTCCAGCATTCCCACACAATGACCAGGTCTAGATCTCTGTCAGTAAGTTGGAAGAGCAAATATCATCAAGAAATAAACTTGTGAAGTTTGGGCTGGAACTTGTTAGGGTTATGTTGTCTAAGGTTTCAGAGTCTCAAATTAAGAATTCTAGTTATTCAAGTCTTTTACTCTTCTAGCGTTCTGCTAAGATTTCTTCATGACTTAACTGAAGTCTAGTTCATTCCAATTAAAATTTTACCACTCTGCATAATTTCTGTTTTGTGCTTTCATATTATTTTAAAAACAAAGGCTTCAGGTAACTAGCACTGTTAGGCCTAAAGAGGTACAGAGAAATTTCCTCTTGGCCTTTTAAGATAGCAAAAATGAAGCACAAGCCTGTAATCCTTACTGAAGCCTGAGGCAAAAGAATCACAACAAGTTTTAGGTCAGCCTGGGAAATTTGGCAAGACCCTGCCTCAAAATAAAAATAAAAAGGACTGGGAATGTAACTCTGGTGGAGTGCCCCTAGGTTCAATATCTAGTTATGCACACCCCCCCCCCCAAAAAAAAAAAAAAAAAAAAAACAGAATGAAAAGAAAAGGCAGAAAGTAAAATTTGGGCTGAGGTTTCAGGACTGAATTGCTGCTCTTTTGTGACTTTTAGTTTGGGTTTATAAAGTTGGCCTAAAGGTATACTGTCATGTTTATTCAACATTGTCATTTATATAACCTGAACTGTGCCAGCGTCTTGTCTACCTATTATCTTTATATCCTTTGCATATATTTTTTTCCTTTGCCTGGATAGCCTTCCCTTTTTCCTTCACAAATCTGATCTCTTCCTGTCCTTCAGTTTCAGTTTAAAGGTACCTCCTTAGAAGAGGCTGGCCTGAACACCTTCTCAAAAATAGATTCCCTCTTCTTCTCTGTCTTTCCATTGTTTGTTTTCTTCTCAATGCAGAAAAACTTGTAATTATTTGTTTATTTATTTATATATGTTCTTATTGTCTAGATATTTTCCACTGGTCCATAGACTTCATGGAAGACGTGCCGCATCTTTTTTTTTTTTTTAAACTGTTGTATAAATAGCATTTGGCATAGTGCTTGGTACCTAGTAGTAAATATGTTTCAACTGAATTAGCCAGTCAGTCAAATATTTGTTAATCATCATTAGGTGTTAGCCATTAGCTAAGTACTAACTAGCAAAGATGCAGCTGGGAAGAAGACACAGCCAGCACTCAGATCTAAGACAATCTGAAGAAGAGAGACTGACACATAAGCAAATAGTTATGAGGCAACATAATAGTGATAGAGGATACATGCATAGAGTATTCACAAAACATGTGAGAGGGGTTCCAACTTGTGACCATTCAATTCATTGTACTGCTTTGATGGTCTGAACCTCCTCCTCTTGTCCTGCCATATAAGCCCTGAAAATTGCCAACTCTGGAACAGTCTTTCCCCTTTTGCATTCCCAAATAATCCAACGTTATTGGAGAATACATTTTAAGAGTGTAGATTAATATTGTGTTCATTCATAGCGTTTTCCATAGCTGGATTCTCAGTACTGCTTAGCATTTTTCTTACTTCTTCCCTGCCAGCTTTCTTTCCAGCACCACATTGTCTATTCTAAACCTTAAACACTCCTGAAACTTCTGCTGCACTTTCATATTCTCAGACTTTCTAAAGAAAATAGAAGCATTCATATCATAAATGCTTCAACCATTTTCTTTCCTTCTTTCCTTCCCTCCTTCCTCCCTTCCTTTTCTTTTTTCTTTTCCTCCCTCCCTCCCTTACTTTCTTTTTTTCATTTCCATTATTACCTATTCTTAACCATCTCAAAGGAAGAATTGTCTCTTAAAATTCTTATCCTGGATTCTCTTGCTTTTATTCTTAGAGCCTTGCTCCATTAAGTGTCTGCTCCACTAAAAAAAAAAAAAAAAAAAAAAAAAGAAAAGAAAAAGAAAAAAGTTTTATAGACGGTGATTTTGAACATGTATAATTTCTTCATGACTCTTCCATTTTTTGCTTTTTTCTGGTGCTGAGAATCAAATTTGGAGCTACACAATTGCTAGGCAGCACTGTACTACTGAGCTAAATACACCTCCCACCCATAATTATTCTGTTTTTGATACAAATGTGATCATGTTATAAATAAAATTTTATGTGACCACTGCCAATTTCTTGAAAGAATAAACCCTGTTTACTATCCCCACTTAACTATCCACTGGTTTCTCACTTTACTATAATCTGACATCTATCCCCAGCAATACTCTTGAACTGTTCTTTTTTTTCCCTTGACTGTCCAACATTGCACAGGTGAGGGATTGGGTGTGTGAACTGTTCTTTACAAGGTTACCACAGGGTCTTCCTCATTAATAAAATGAGAATTTTCACTTTTTATGTTAGTGACTTCTCTATATTATTTGAAACTGTTGACTGCTTATTTCTTCTTGAAATGTTTCCTCCTTTCCTTTTTGTAACACCAGTCTCCAAATAAATTCTAGATATTCTTTCTTAGCCTTCTCTGCCTAAGTTTCTTTCTTGTTGGTGTTCTTTAGACTGTTTTGTTCTTCCCATCTCTTCTAACATTTTCTCTTTTTCAGTGATATTTTCTTTGGCTTCCGCTACTCCTTATTATGGTGATTTTGAAACCTGTCTTTTGGATAGATCTTTCTTTACAACTCTAGGCTTCCTGCTACCTGTTGCTTCTCTAAACACCACAAATTTGTCAAACTGAAGGTGTTCAAAACTGAACATATCACCTATTCCAAAGGAGTTTCTCTGCCCATTTAATCACACAAGCCAGAATCCTAGGCATTATCTTTACATCCTCTCTGCCTCAACCTTAAGGTCCTGTGATTATACCAGGTTCTGGCAGTGTCTCATCTTAAACCTTTTTTTTCTTGCGGGGGAGGGTTGTACCAGGGATTGAACCCAGGGGTGCTTAACACTGAACCATATCCCCAGCCCTTTTTTATATTTTATTTAGAGACAGGGTCTTGCTGAGTTACTTAGTGCCTCACTTTTGCTGAGGCTGGCTTGAACTCTCAATCCTCCTGCCTCAGCCTCGAAAGCTGCTGGGATTACAGGAGTGTGCTACCACACTTGGCTGCAAAGTTGACTTTATTGGTTAATTATCTCGTAAATAAGGCATAGAGGAGTGAAGAAAAACAGAAATAGTGAAAAATAGACTCATTAGTGCTAAGAGCAAGTTAATCCATTTACTGGCTTTAGGTTTACAAATACCTGTTCGAGTCACTGCTTTAAATTCTTTTTGAGTATATAACCAACCATATATGAATTATTAGATCAGATAGGAATTGTTTTTAATTTTTTGAGGAATTACCATGCTGTTTTGCATCATGACTGTATCATTTTACATTTCCACTAGCATGTACAATGTTTTTTTTTTTTTTTAAATTTCTTTACATTTTCACAAACTTGTTATTTTCTGAGATTTTTTTCCTTTTCTCACATAATAGCCATCCCAACAGAAAAGTGATTTTTTTACTGTGATTTTGATTTGTGTTTTTCTAGTGGTTGGGAAAGTTGAACATCTTTTCAATGTTATTGGCTTTGTACATTTTCTTTAGAGAATTTCTATTCAAGTTCTTTGCTTACTTGCTTATTTATTCATTTTCCAGTACTGGGGATTTAACCCAGGTTATTATACCACTGAGCTACATCTCTATCCCTTTTTATTTTTTATTTTGAGACAGGGTCTGGCTTTGCCCAGGCTGGCCTAAAACTTGTCATCTTCCTGCCTTAGCTCATGAGGGCCTACAGGTGTTTGCCACCATGCTCAGAGCCTTGTCTTATTTTTAAGTCAGGTTGGTTGGTTGTTGACATATAGGAGTTCTATATGTATTCTGTATATTAACCCTTTATGAGAAGTATGATTTACAAATATTTTCTCCCATTTCCTGTGTGGCCTTTTCACTCTGTTTTAATGTACAAAAGATTTCAATTTTAGTGTAACCCAGTTTATCTACTTTTTCTTTTGTTATCTGTGTTTTTGATGTCTTATTCAAGAAATTGCCAAATTCAGTGTCATAAAACTTTTCTCCTGTGTTTCCTTTTGAGAATTTTATAGTTTCAGCTCTTATGTTTGTGTCTTTGATCTACTTTGAGCTAATTTTTGTATATGGTATATGATAAATACCTAACTTCGCTCTTTTGCACATGAATATCATTTTTCCCGATATCACTCTTAGTAGACTGTCTTTTCCCCCACTGAATGTTCTTGGCTTCCTTGTCTAGAACATTTGACCGTGTATGCCAGTGTTTATTTATGGACTTTCAATTCTATACCATTGGTTTGTCCATCTGTATCATATCAGTACCACCCTGTTTTTATTACTGTATCTTTGTAATAAGTTTGGAAATAAGAGGTTGTGGATTTGTAGCTTTCTTTTTCAAGATTATTTGGCTATTGGTAGACTGTTGAGATTCTATATTAATTTGAGGAAGGATTTTCCAATTTACAAGAAAAAAAAACACATTGGAATTTTATTAGGGATTGCATTAAATCTGTAGAGTGCTCAGAAAATTATATGCCATAATATGACATTTCAGGCCTCAGAAGCAAGCCAAGCCCTGCAAAGCAAGTCTTTAATTTTTTCTGTCTCCAGTTTGCCCTTTCTGTTCCCCCAGGCAAACCATAGAAACTAGAATTTCTGTTCCCTAATGCAGGTCACAGAAACTAGAACTACCTTTCCCAAA